GGAGTTTTCAAAACTTACGAACTCATTCGCCATCGCTTCTACTGGCGCGAAATGTATAATTTCGTTCGAAAATACGTTATGGGCTGCCCTGACTGTCAACGCCGCAAATCACCGCCTTTCCACTCGTCCGGTGCGCTTCAACCGCTTCCGTGCCCTGCCAAACCTTTCGATCGGTTCGGAATTGATCTCTATGGCCCTCTACCGACAACATCAGATGAAAATCGATAGATCATAGTCGCTGTGGACCATTTAATACGCTACGCTGAGACCGCCGCCCTTCCAAGTGCCATTGCGCGGGACGTAGCATCCTTCATCTTTCATTGCTTCATACTACGACATGGTGCACCTCGAGAACTACTAAGCGACCGAGGTCGAGCCTTCCTATCAGAAGTCGTCACGTCTCTGCTTTCTGAATGCCATGTTATTCATCGCAAGACCACGGCATACCACCCGCAGACTAACGGGCTCACGGAAAGATTTAACCGCACCCTTGGCGATATCCTTGCCATGTATGTGACATCCGATCATACTAACTGGGATCACATTCTTCCATTCATCACGTTCGCATATAACACCGCGGCACAGTCTACCACTGGATTTTCACCTTTCTTTCTTCTTTATGGACGCGAACCATCCCACACCATCGACACTCTCCTTTCATACCGTCTTGACGCATCCGAATGCCCATCTGTGTCCGAAGCTGCCCGAAATGCGGAAGAGTGCCGTGAACTCGCACGCACCTTTACATCACAAGAACAACAGCGCCAGAAAGAAAATAACGCCGACTCTTCACAAAGCCCCAGCTTTTCCCCGGGATCACTTGTATGGCTGGCTGTTCCTTACCAACCCCCCAGCATTTCCTCAAATCTCGTTCCAAAGTAAGAGGGCCCATACCGCGTTTTGGAGCAAACCTCGCCGGTGAATTTTCTCATTGAGCCACTTTCCCCATCTGACGACAAGCGCCGGCGTGGACGTGACATCGTCCACGTCGCCCGCCTTAAGCCATATCATAGCCCTCTGCCTCCAGACTCTTAGGTCGCCAGGATGGCTCTTTTTCGGCGGGGGCAAATTGTGAAGAAGAAAACGCATCGTTGGCAAGCAACATCGCCACCGCTTGGGTACTGGGTGCTGGGCTTCTCTCGCTCGGCTCGTGCTGATCATCGCCGGCATCTACTTGACCGTTGCTCTTGCCCGATTGTGTTTCGTCGCAGGACCACCGTCGCAACAGTCGCCAATAAACCCTTTTTCAAAGCCAAAAACAAAACAAATAAGAAAACTACTTTTTGCCCTACTCATTGCTTGCTGCAGAAGTGACACCAGGTGAACAACATGGAGCAAATTCTTGTTCCATGTTGTTCAACCTTGAGTTTGCACCATTCCTGTGGGGTGAAGCTACGTCGCATATGAAGCACTTTTCCAAAGAGTATTTCGTGGTATCCGCGTCTTTCGCTCTTCGTTTTTGATGCCATGCTCGCCTGCGTGGTTTCAATGCGTGCACGTAATGCAGCTTCTGTCAACTACAGCTTTGTAAATTTTTTTTTTCTAAGCAGACAACTGAGTCGACCCTAATGAGAAGATGTCAGATGAGGCTCTGGTCGAAACTTTCCAAGACCACAGTGACACCAACAGATTTTTCACACGCTTTGCTGTGTTGCTCCTCACCACATTTTCGTTAAACCATGGCATTCGTGACAAGCTCCAGCAATGCAATGATCAATTGCCGAAGCCAATCTTGAAAGCCACGACTAGACAATGACAGAGCAGCATCGTGTTGCACTGATGTCATTCGACTGTTCAGTACTGCCATCTCTCCCGCACAAACAACAGAGAAAAAAAATCATTATCATTGCAAGTGTGAAGCAATCAATGGGATAGCAACAAATTGTAAGGTTATACGAAGTCAGGCTGAGAACAAACTCTTGTGCCCTCTGAAATGCTGTTGTATGAGAGTATGGTCACTCTGGGAAAAAATGCTCTTTTTGCATGGTCTTTTTGTGTTGAGAGAGTTGTGGTGTATACGTATCCCGAAGGAGTACGGCCACTAGCGTGGGTCCAGTCTTAGCGAGCCGCAGGGCACGCGTTAACCGTCGCCGTGGCGAGAACATGATACCGCTCAAAGTCGCAACACTTTATTGTGGCAACATCAAACGCAGTACAGCCCGTTGCAAAGGCGTGACGGGAAAGCAAATAGGCTTATCTACGCCACGGGCACAAAAGTGCTACACAGGGTGCCACGAGCACGTCTCCGCAGTAAAGGTGTTACACGAAGACACTGGGACCAAGGCCCGGTTGCTCGAGCGAAGGCAAAGGCGCTCGCATTGGCTTCAGAGGGAGATGGGTGGGCATAGCTAGGCCACGCACTAGGACACCGTACCACCCGTCGGCTGTGCGTACGCAGTGGGCCAACAAAAAGTGAGCGTTCGCCTCGGGCGCGAGGCGCCGTCAGCGAAGTCCGACGAACCCCCGAGCGACGGGAGTCGACGGACGGAAAAGATTGCGTGGCTCACCGTCTGCAGTCCTGGAGAGTATCTGTCTGCCCGCTCCCGACACAGTGCGCGAAAACCTCTCGGGAGACTCCGCGCGCGGGCGCCACAGTCAACATCCGCTACTGGGTGAGGGGGTTAAATGTCACCCCGCTTTCCCAGCGTGGCAGACAGCAAAGGAGGGCAGACATGTCGGGACATGAGAACAGCAGAAAAGGCGGCAAAGCCCGCGCAAAGGCAGCGGACTAGCCTCAATTCCCACAGAGTGCAGCCCATGGAAGGGCACTGAAGCTGACCACTCATGCCAGCCATGTAGCGTGCACGCCAGCAATCATGACCACACTCTTAGAATCCAAGTTCACTGTTGTTGCTTGAGCGACTCCCCCGTATCTTTGAAACTGTTGTTAGCACCATTGTGGCTATTTTATGTAACACTCCCGCTTGGACCGAGAAGGTCTGCAGTATCCGGAAAATAAAAAAATATTACAGACGCCCACAAAATACAAAAAATACTTGTTTTTGCCGTTACTGTGCTCCTGATCGTTCCAAGTGTGTGATGAGGTCTCCTAACGCGGCTAAGAAGATGAGCAAGCACGCGCACTGAATCAAGAGCGGTTTGCGGCACGTGCCATTGTGGCACGCACAAATGGAAAAAAAATGGGCCACGTTGACCGATCAGGCAGAGCCAAAAGCTGGAGGGAAGAAGACCCGTTGGCTTGGCCGGACATAACGTTCAAAAAACTAGCACTGTCGGATGATACCTCACCGGACGTCAACGTCGGAAGGACTTCGTGAACGGCACGTATTCTTCTCCGGCACCCAGCGGACGCAGTAACTGCGAAAACCCGCCTGGCTCGTCGACAATCCACGACGACCATCGAGTCAAGGCCCATGGCGTGAGCGCGGCGTTTTTTTTAACTGAATAGATGCTAAAAACACTTACCAATTCATACTGCTTGATGCGCTTTGTATTTGTGTTGTTTGTGCTCGTTTTTATATGAATTTATGTTTGTAGACAGCACAATTGTCTCATCTTTGCTGCCCTAGCCAGCATCTCTCGCACTACTCGAAAAGCCTGCTCTCCTAACCCTATTATATAACAATGTGTAAATGACCACAGCTTTTGTGCATGTATGCCTTGTTGAAAAGACAAAATATGGCCAAGACATTACAAGAACTAGCCAGAGAGCAGCTAGCTTGAGCGAAGGGCAGTGAAAAGGGCAGAAGTAGCCACAAATTCGTTTTATTTGTGTGATGTTATTAAAGTGGCTAAATTCAAGTTGGAAATGTTAATAAGCAGAGCAAACTTTCAGGATCATAATTTCTTAGACATAAGCATAGATTGGCGACTTTAGCAACTATTTTGCAAATGATGACACAGTTTCTTGGGGCGTAGCAGAAATGACCTCTTCACACGTATTATGTGAATTTTTTAAAACAGGTTAGCACTACAAGTGACAACAAATAGAAGTATTGTGTGCTCAAAATCGCGGTTGCTGTGAACGAAGCAGAAACTGCAGTCCTTCCAGCAACCGTTTTTTGCGTGATGAGAAATCTGAGCAAATAAGTACTCGAGTAGAAGTCTGTATCTAATCCTAAGAAATGACATGAGCATTTCGCCAGATGCCCGATTTCTAATGCCGATGCATGCAAAGCCTGCGGAGTGTCCTCCTATCAACTTGCAATTGCACTTTGAAATCACCTTCAGCAATAGCGGGTCTGGGAAACGATGTACCAGGAAGGTTTTCTCCCACGTATTTTCTTTTGTGCAATGCCAGCACCAAATTCAATCTGGCGAGCTGAAAACACACCTTCGTCTCCATGTTTAGACACCGCATACTCGAATGCCAGTGGCCATGACGTCCCAAGATATTGACAATTTAGCTGAAATCAAGGAAACACGAAGCTAGCTGAAAGGTAGCCAATGTGCTTTTCAGCCACTACTGGCTTCAAAATGTAAGCAAACCTGGCAACTCTGGACAACTAGGGTGCGCTGCCACTTGGAAGAGGCGACAACAATTGCAGTGGCCATGTGATGAGGCACCTGCTGCTTTTGGCAGCAACAATGATACCCGCTACACCTTGTTACTGCTGTCCCCAACTAATGCAACGAGGGAACCACATCCACTGCAATCACGATGAAAGCAAGTCAGGTGGTATGTTTTTGTATGCTGGCACCTGTGGTAAGCAGGAACGTTCTCACTTCAGAGACAGAAAGTTAGAACCAGTCTGAACGAACAGTGCAAACTGATTCACAGCTGTCTCGTCGGGATTTTTCACTTTTATGTCTGTGCTGTCTACCTTATCCTGCCCATGCATGACTTATCGTTTCAAGACACAGGCAAGTAATTCATAATGTCAAAGAATCCCGTAAGAGAAAGTCGTATATACACCTGAATAACGCAACTGGCAAGACTAGCCGCTTGTTTTTTCACATGCTGTACTATATTAGTTTGCCTGTTTTTCCAGAAAACTTGAGGAGGTCACATTGCCCATTACTTCAACCTGCTCACTCACCGACTGGAGCTTCTGCTTGGCCGCCCGCGCGTGTGCTGACAAGTCCAGGCTGGAAGAAAAGTGATATAACATTAAGTGAACACAGTTTTGACATTTCATCACACTGAGATCCAAAGAAAAATGGGTGACCCCTGCATACTAGCTGCACCAACTTTTCCCTTTGATGAAGTGGACACTTTAAAATTCTCCGATTTTTCCAGATTTTCCCTGGGTGTGTTTGAAATATTACTTGAAATATCAGAAATTTTTCTTTCTTGTTCTTCAAAAAGCACACAACAAAACAAATACAAAAACACGGACATGATACTCAACACGCGACTGCGAGAACATTTTTTTTTTTTTTTATGTCAAGGGAAGTGGAAGCAGCTTTAAATAGTCACACGATTTGCATTGCGGTAGAATGCAAGTAACAACTTTCGAATACGTGTCTTTAAAAATTTGCTATAATTATAGCATATAAGTTGGTATAACACGATTTTAAACTTAAAAAAGTGATGTGTTGATGCGGGATAATGCGTTAGTTTAACCTTGAAGTGGAGCTCCCCAACAGTGCGGAGTTTCGCCGAGCTCATGTTTTCACGGCTTGGCACCTGTTCACTGCAGTGCAACCATATAGGAATAAAAAAAAAACAAGGCAGGCAGCCTTAGCAAGCCGTGCTGTTTAGAAGCCAGCATTGTCGGCTCAACAAGCGATCTTATGCACAAGATCACACCCGCAATAAGACTTGCCGATACTTTGGAGGACGGCGCCTAGTAGCTTTTAATAGAAATGTGCTTGTTCTTCGGCGAAGACTGGCTGGCTCACGCAGGTGGTTTAAAGACAAAATTACACTGTAAGGGACATTTCGGTCGAGATTAACGTTTCAAAAAGAATGACACGGCTCTGACGTTTCAATCATGTGTTGGGCCAACACGGTGGGCTTCACTTTGCTTCACTCGTGTGAAGCAATGCTCCTTCCTTTCTTTCTCTTCATCCATGTGTGAAACCGCCTTTACAAAAAGTTACATGCAGACTACTAATATACACACGAACAGATGCTTCCAAGGCTTACCACAACTACAATCCATTGAAACCACCTTTACAGGGGTTACATGCAAACTAACATGCACTTATTCTAGGCTTGTGTGAACCGTGAATTTTAGGTTCGAAGCGAATCAAAATTGAATGGTATGTATGGCATATAAAAAAAATATTTATAACCAACCTGCACAATATTTCTTTTGAATGAAACAGCGGCTCTATGCAAATGCCATTCTTTTTTTCATTCAAAGGAAGTCGAAACAACCCTGAGTTACTACTGTAGGATGCGAGTGATAACCTGTAAGATACTTGACATTTTAAAAAATTTATTACACTTGAGCATATAAGCCGTCATAACAAGCTTAATAAAATGAAGAATTGATTTTAGGGTAACATGTTCCTTTAAAGGGGCCCTGATCCACTTTTTCAAGCAGCCATGGAGCCAGTAAACATGCTTGTTGCCACACAAATTTACCGCCGCAAAGTTTCTGGGATCAGTCCAGTACGAGCAGAGTTCCAAAAATTTGTCGCACGCTGCTATTGCATTCTCTCTTCTCGTCCCTAAGAAATAGCTGGAAGCTAAGCAGGGAGGAATGGCATGGCGAAATAAAATACGTCGCAGGCACCTCTTGACCTTGAGCACATATTTTTTTTTTCTTCGAAGACGCGGATTTTCAGTGCGATCGCGCACATACTCACAGACAAGCGGCGGCCTCCCGCGGCGGCCCCGGTAACGACGAAAGCACCATGCCAAAATCAGCCAATGGCTGTGACCAGAGCCGCATATTCTTTCACGGCTGTGACAAGTAATTTTTGAGCTTGTAGTATCATTCGCCGAGAGAAGAAAGCATTTTTTAGCTTTAAAAGTTTATTGTGAATTACAAGCCGGGTGCTGCGCAATAATATTTGCCCCGCGTGTTCTCGGTAGCCTCGACAACCGATCGGCAGCGTTTACTGACAATGCTCTGTAAGTGTTGCAGGGCCAATTTAAATTTGCAGAGGGGCTTGGTGGCACAGCGAATTCTGCTTGAATAGATGCTATCACGGCTTAGCACCCTTATATTGCAGTGAAACCACCTTTACAAGCGGACCAATATACATTTATTTGTTTATCGTGAATACTTGGAAAATATTCTATACTTTGAATTCAAATCAAAGCGAATTCGAATACTCAACTATTCCTTAAAATATTCGAAGCATTCGAATATTCGCACAAGCTTAACCTATTCATTCAATTTAAGTACTTCGAAATTTTCAGTTATTTAAATTCGAATCAAAGCGAATTTGAATACTGATTGATTAATTTGTGGGGTTTAACGTCCCAAAACCACTATATGATTATGAGAGACGCCGTAGTGGAGAATTTGAATACTGCACTATTGGTCCGAGAATTTGAAGCATTCGCATATTCGCACAAGCCTAGTCAGCACAGCATCACTATGCTTCAGTAGGAAGGAAATTGGTTTCTCAGTGCACCTTAAGGTGACTTGTATCTGTCGCTTCATTGTTTGCTGATGGGTCCAATTATTGTGAAGAATTGCATCCGCCCTTTTTTACCCTTTGAGGGATAATGGGATGAATGTGTCCCACTTTTTCTTCCTCAGTAAAAGCTTTCTCCACTGCTTCATGTTGACATCAGCTCAACTCCTTTGGACTACAGTGTATCAGGAACATTTAAGAAACAAAAAATATATATTTGGCACACTTACCATGCATTCTGTGATTGATACAGTCAGTTTAAATTCATTCTGTTCCATTGAACATTTTTTTAAAGTGGTGTCATTGTGAATTTATGGTGCTTTTCTCCTTTTCAGAATATCCAGAGAAGTAGCTTTAACATGCAAATGGGTATTTTCTTTCGAAATTGTAACAGTACATAGGCCAAAAGTCATATTCGAAATGCACTTGATGAAGGATGAAGCAATTCCTTACTTGACTCAACTACATAACATGCACACACAGCTGTTTTTTTCAAGTTAAAAGGACAGTATTGCATAACGAAACAGCAATTTGCTGAGGAGAAGGCCCTCAAGTTCTTCTCTATCTTTTTTTTACCACTCTAAATGCAGTGGTACTTAGAAAAAGCTGCAGCTAAAATGACTTTTCTAAATGCTTTGACAAGCTTTTGCCAAAGGAAAAGAATGATAAAATTGGTGACAGTGAGGAAGCGAAAGAGAAGACAAATGCACAAAATCTATGAGAAAAGCTAATATCTAAGGCCTGGATAGAGTTCACGAAGCTGATGCAGCAGTTGTAAACATACGTACAAGATTCACTGCATTCATCAACATCAGGTCAACATCAGGTCGATGTGGCTTGCCGTGATCCATGACCACAATTTTATATATGGGCAGTGATTCTGGCACAACTGAGGTGTTCATCCTTATCTACATCAACCAGAGACAGAAATAAGCTAAAACAGTTGATGCATGCGAAGGCCTCAGACAGAGCCACTGGGCTGAACACAACAGGCAGAGGCACAGATTGTGTACCACATCTGAAAATAAGGTACCCAACAAATTTTCCTTTGCACAGTTTTTAAAGTCTCTTTGTACCAATTGCATCGGGCCTTTTTGTTCTAGAAATTCGGCAAAAGGATAGAATTCCGACTTCCTTAGCTTGGTGCCCTCGTGAGACAATGATACAGGTGTTGTCCCAATTTTTCATAAACACTTCACGGGTCAACAGGACACATACGTCCTACTTTTTTCTCGTAAACTAATGATCATATCTTGGCGAAACTTGCTTTATAGTATATTTCTAAGCAAGATATTCAGCGATTGCTCAGACTTAATTTCGGTTGTCATGTGAAAAATATTGATGAAACCACAAAAGGTTAACCGATCTTTTGAGTTTTTCTTCCAGCAGACATGACGATGTGAACTGCGCAAGTGCTAGTAGGCCTTGCTTTTCTATGTGTTTGACAGCAATGAATTCCTGTTGCACTGATTTACTGTTGCACTGCAAATGATGGGCAACATGTTATTTTTATGCAGCTGAATAAGTTTCTCAGGGCAAGACAAAGCCATTTTTAGAAACATATTGTGTCTTCAATTCACATTATTTAAAATTTTAATTCACAAAAACTTCATGAGCAACATTGCATTCAGTGCTCTGCTGAAACTCCTTAGCAAGAAAATTTAAAAGGGGGGGGGGGGGGGGGCTCTGTCTTGCCCTAAGGTGCCCATTCAGGACACTTCATAGTGAATTGCACAGTGCTAGTTAATGTTCCGACCTCCCCAGGCCCCAAGGGACCCAAGTGGACTACTCTGACACATGGCTCTAACATAACTGCATTAAGCATTGTAGTTATTCAAATGGCTTTGTATTAGCCTATACTGAGCTACGTGAGAACAATTTTAGAGTAGAGGTGCACTGTGTGGCACCTTCCTACAAATGCTGATTGCAACAAGCTTGAGCGAGTTCAGAACATGGGTGCAAAGTACATTATTGATAGCTATGAAAAAAACCTTAGCATTACTGTTACAGAAGAAACATTAAAATGGGAGCAATCGGGATTTGTTTCGCGCTTGAAGCTTTTTCACAACTTATATCATGGCCACATTTGAATAGACCATAATCAATACATTCTACCGCCCCATTATTTATCAAGACGAGCACATCATGAGCTCGAGGTTAAAGAATATAGCCGTAGAACTAATCTTTTGAAAAGAACTTTTTTCTCCAAAACAGTTTCTGAATGGAGTCGCCTGCCTGCTGACATCGTCAGCATACTAGATAACGAAGCTGTTGCGGCCGCTCTTTGACATCTCATTTTGTCTTCGGCTGCAGTGGAATTTTATGCGATGTTTAGTTCTTATCCCATATTTCTTGTATTTTTTTATGTTTGTACAGTATAATTTTATGTTGGTTTTTTTCTATCTTTGTCTAGGTTAGATGATCTTTATGCCATTCATGTGCATTGACAACACTGTAGGCTACTATTTCTTCATAGTAATCATGTTCAAATTTAGTTTTTTTCTTGTTTTTTTTTCCTTCATCTGTCAATGTTATTGAAATGTATGATGTATTATTTCTCTGTGTAAACCCCCACCTCACCCCCCACTGTAATGCCTGAATGGTACTATAGTGTAAATAAAGTGTAAATAAATACTAAAATTTAAGTAAAGGGGCACTGCAACACTTCTGAAGCACCTAATTTCTGTTTTGCGCAGAGTGATAGCTGGTGACAATTTTGACATAGGTCTAAGCACTGATATAAAGTGACTTAGCATCAGCACGTAGTGGCGCTTGCCAGAACTGTTGCAGGTGTAAATGACAGAGGATGGCTGCCAGCCCATGACTGGAGCAAAGTCAACTTAGAAGACGAGCTATCAGAACTGAGATTACTAAGGTGTTTAATTTTTCTTTCCTGTGCTATTTCCCTGAACCCCAAACCAATGCGGCCATAACAAAAAAATCACTGCAACTAAAAAACATGACACAGACAATGGCTAGCTACTATTCTGCCTCTGAATTTTGAAATTACGCGGGTCTATACGAAAATCTTTCTTCCCTCTTCTTGTTTTGGCAACTTTGTGAGATGTCTCTTTTCGCACGTATGCTAGGCTCTTGATTGTTTTGAAGGGGTGCAATGCACCCTCGGGAAGCTCACTGAACAACTCACGAAGGGTCAGCTGTACTTCACCGCCCTGGTCATTACGAGAATTTATTTCTTAGAATACAGGGGTGGAACAGGGTATCTGCGTTTGGGAGTGGTACATGGGACAGACAAAAGTACATTTTGTAGCAGGGTTAGAGTAGCTAGGTAGGCTTTTTTGAGCAAGTTTGGAACTGTCAGAATGCTCAGAACAGATGTAGCCCCATTTCACAGCACTTTTGAAACAACATTAGTGTAATGCTGCAATTTTTAACAGCTCAGCTAAATTGTGCAACAGCCTTATTATTGCGACAACAATAATATGTGCACCTCGAGCCCTTCTCAATGGGTTTTCGTCAGTGTTGTTGCTGTCATGTCCCGTATAAAGTAGATTTAACGCCCACCTGCGCATCATCTCTTCTACCCGCGGGTAAAAGAATGTGCACACAATCGAGGCGACGAACATGCCTGAAGCAGGGATCAAACAAGCCAGCCCATCTGCATGGGAAAACATCGCTGCCATTGGGGCGCCCGCTTTCAACACCCCACACAGCATTGCAAAATGCAAGATGAAGGGCGCGCTTGCAATCGCCGGCGCACGCACTAGCTTGGCTGCTGCCGGCAAGTGGCTCGTATACACTGCTATGTGCTGCGCTCTCAAGGCGAAGAGAGTGGGCCAAAGGGATTGCTCCCCCAGAAGCGACTGTATTATTTTACACCAGCTTTTTGTAGAGTTACATGAGGTATGATCCAAAAGAGTTAGCCGACAGCCTCATTTCTCATAACATTACGGTTTGTTCCTATAGCATTCATCACTTTACCCTCGCGCTGAATTGAACTTTTTAGCCATGAGAAGCTGCCCTGATATTTTTTTTTTTATCTGAACAAGCATGCGTCAGCCGCTGAAAACTACATGAATGAAGCCCAGCAGCAAAATGAACGAGAAAACGTGCACGCTCGATAAGCATTTCCATGCCCCTGTCCTTGCCAGGCTGTTTTGAGAACTAGACACCACTCTCTTTTCTTTTTTCTTTTTTTTTTTTGAGCTCACTACGGTCATCTTTTTTTTTTTCTGGAACACTACTTTGTCGTTATTAAAAAAATTACAGTATTACTGCAAGGACGAAGCAGTGAATGCAATAGTAACAAATTGTAATGCTATATACCAAGGCTGGCAACTAACTCATTTAGATCCGATATCGTGTAACTCTACAAAACACTGGTGTAAAAGGATACGGTCACACAGTCTTCGTGTTGAGAGTGAGCACACAGAATGGTTTACAAGCCATTCATGCTGATGCCTTCCAAAATAGCACACAAGCTAGCGATCCCGACCGCACCGTGAGGATCAAACTTCCCAGCTGCTGTTCGAGCAATCACAGTCCTGATGAAACCAAAACTATAACTATTTCCATGAAACCAAAAACAAGATGTTTCAGCCATGTCTTCGGGCACGAGGCTTGATGGCTGTCGCACCTTGCAGCTAAGTTCAGGTGCTACGGTGCGGTATGGCACTGATAAATGAGCTGGGCACAACAGGCGTGGTTCGGCACAGAAAGGCACAGGTAAAAAACTTTGGCCCAGACTAGCACAAGTGGTGCGGCTGTTCCACCCAGGAGAATAAGAGGAGAGAGTGACACTGAATGTTGTAAAGGAGAGTAGAAAATATCATGCTTCATAACAGTAGTGCCCGCTCAGGTTCCGACAAGTCAGGCGTCAGGCACCACCTTTGTTACTATGGCAACGAGGTCGACATGGCCGGACTAGAAGAATGGCACTTTCTTACAGCCTGTGCACACAAAGAGGAAACAATAGGAAAGATTCTTCACAACTTGCCGCAGCAATTGCCTAGTGGGGGCGCTTTGAACCAACCCACTACTCTTTCACTCCTCCTTTTTCTCAGTCGACCTGTAGCTACGACAGGGCTAAAAGAGAGGGAAATGCACATGCGTCACACCTCTATGCTGGACCCCGGCCGTACTGTAGCTCAGCTGACGAGGGTGAGCAAGAGTAGGGCCGCAACGCCATAAACTAGCATCGGTGAAAGAGGGGAACTAAACACGAAGCGCAGGCCGTAAGAAAGTGCACGTGTGCCACTCTTCCAGTACGGCCGTGGTCAATATTACGCTAGCAAGAACAAGCAACAAAGGTGTGCGAGCTTCCCCTACATAGGCACGCGCTTCCAACTCATTCCTATGTCACCGAGCTAGTCAGGGCGTGTAAAATGTAGTCAGGTGACCGCACGATAAGCAAGTCGAGAGTGGGCATTTGTTTCCTGTGTGTACTTTGAATTTTTCGAATTGACTAAATTAGAACTGGAGCTGTTATCACTGCCGTTCTTGCTGCATCACTTTGTCTGTACTTAAGTCTACACAAACATGTAATAAAAAATGGGAGGTTGAATATTGTTAGAGAGCCACTTTATGATGCCTCAATAAACAAAAAGGTTGCCCCCCCCTGAAAGAGGTTAATATAAGAGGCATGTTCCATGGTAGAGAATAACCAGAGACCCCTGTAAAAAAAGCTTTGGAGATCACATAAAAGAGCAATCTGGCTGCAGAGTCCACAAAATGATTCACTCACCAGTCAGCCATCTCAGGCAGGATGAAGTGCTGACCCAGGTGGTGCTCTGCAGGGGGAAAGAACTTGTTGTGGCTCAGTCCATCAAGTAACAAATCCCTGAATGCATGCTTTGATGCAACCAAATATCACAGAATGAAACTCATAAGGCAGAAATACTAGTTTACTTTGGAACTGGCTGGTCGTTCTCTCACCGAGCAGATGCTCAGTCGCTTTTGAGCAGAGACATCAGTCTCATTAGCCCCATGAATAGTACACTAGAGTGTGATGATTGTAAGCAGCAGTTGTAGGCATGTTAACACACTTCATTTGCACTGTCATATACGCATATGTAATGTTTTTGCTGGATAACAAACACTGTCACCGGAACTGGCACTGTCCTAACATGACGAGTGCATATGGTCTTTTTCCGCAGCGTTTCGGAGCACTGGCACGGCTAAGTGACGTATGTCAAGCAGAATGCCTTGGATTGATTTCTGCTCAAACTGCTGTTCATGTACCAAACAGCCATTTGGGATACTTGGTAATGATTCATTCTAAATGCAAAAAATAGAGGTTTGTACTGGCTCTAAAGTTGGCCCCGTCCTTACCAGCACTTTTCTATGCAGGATCAACAAACAGATTGGTGAAAATTTAAGAGTGGTGGCAACAAAGATGGATACTTAGATGGAACCCTAGTTGTTTAGAACGCAAGGTTTCCAATTTTCTGAAACCGCTTTACGAGTTCGATCTCAGCTTAAAATTCACAATAGAGCTACTGAAAGAAAGATAATTCAAGTTTTTCTATTGAAGCCTAACGGCTGAAGATAACTATGTGTACTGGTCGTTAAAAGACGCCAATACTGAACCATAATTCAGGATATTAAAGAACTGTGAAAATGGGAATCACCCTGTCCTGGTTACGAGCAGCACATACCTAATTGTGTCCAGACAAGCTGCCCTGCAGTTTCAGTAATCAACCACAAGGATGTCCAGGAACAAGTGTCCAAAGCGCTACCAATAGCTCACATCCTGCCTGTGGCTGCTCCAATGAACGAAGTACTGAATGGACCTTGACGTTTGCCTGTCTCACAATCCCACGGGCCGGCTTATTCACTGGGCACTTCGGCTACAATATTCATGTCGTTTAACGCTCTAGACGAAGACATTCGGACTCTTTATACCACTCACCTTTAAAATGTGGGGAGGGATGTCTTGCGAGGACAGTCCAGCATGTACCCACAATGTATCTGCACTTGATGTCAGCAACATTCTTCAAGAGCAACAAAAAGATTCGTGGATCGCTTCACTCCTCAACTTGTTAAGTCGACCTTCCTCGCAAGACATCCCTAGAGGTACACGCAGTCAAATACAGCACTTCGTTAACCCGGAAGGTTTGCTATACCGATGAAATTATTTCCCCAAAGAACGCCAATGGCTCCAAGTTATTCCCAGACATCTCCACTCGAACATATGCGCCTTTTTTCACGCCGACCGCCATTTCCAGAGCATCGTTACCAGAGCACGAGAAAGGAAAAGGAGCGGCCGTACGACAAAATACCCGGTGGTGGGCGCGCTTCAGATCCCTTAATTCTCCTTAATTCACCCTATATACCAGTTCGCAAAAGCAGCCGGTCGTCGCCCATGCGTGCAAACACATCATGCAAATGGGCAACAGCGAGCCTCAGCCTAGCCTCGCAACTGCTGCTTAGAAAAAAAATTAAACAATACAATTGAAAAATACAAGACATATATTTGGCCCGCAGAGTTATGTGGGGGGAGCACCCCGCGTTGTCTATAGTTCTAAAAGGCGGTCTACATCCATGATGGCAACGCCGTCGACTGGTGGCCCGTCGCTGGTTGATGGCGGTGGCAGCCCTGACAGCAGTACTACGAAATAGAGGTCCTCGCCCCTTCATCGTCGGCAAAGGGCCGCCAGGTCAGCGTCCAAGCGCTGGCCGAGTGGGGTGGCATCCCCCGTGGTGGCCATCCCCTTAGCAGATAGATACCTTTGTTCGTGCCACATGCATGTCTCTATTGTAATGGCACTTGTAGTACACCGTCACTCGGCACGTGGCGCAGAAGCTCACTTCGACATTTGTAGAAAGTTGGGCGCCCCTTGCTGCCTCACTGACGTCCGCCACCGTGCAGCCTCGGAATGGCCACGGGATACAGTCTAGGGGCAGGTTGCGTCGAATCTGTTGCTGCGCCTTCTATGGTGCGTTGATGACGAAGAAGCGCGGCACCTTTTGACCCTCCTGCCGTGTCTACGTGGCCATGCTATGCCTTTGCGTCTTCGGACGCGGTGGCGGTGCCTAAGTCATAGATTCTGACCGCCGGGGTGCTCGCTCGGTGGATCTTCTTCTTTCCCAGCGACTCGTTTTTCAGCTGGGGAACATCGTTCTTGTTCCTGCGCGACGCATTGGCACAAGATAGAGAATGTCTCACCGCTGGAAGTCTCCGGCTTCTCCACTCTCGCCTCAGCGACAACCAGCGCCACCTATGTTCACATAGGGGTCGTCGAACCGATTCTTCTCCTTTTCACGCACCGCACACTCACACACACCAGCACCACAAGAGTGTCCTTCACTGTTCACGTGAGTAGGCAGTCGATACCCCTTCGCAGGCAAAAAAAAAGAAAACATCAAGTAAAAAAAAACATGAACACAACAAACGAAGAAAAAGAAAAATTAACAGCAGCAACTATGCGGGGCCGACTTCTTTGCAGCACTGGCAATAAAGGAGTTAGCCAACTGGGGCTAGACAGTAAAATTGAGAGCATTCGGTTGCAAACTTGACTGTTCGGCGCAAAATCACTAAGGTGGCTGCTTCCTCAGATTAGCTCCTCAGACTAGCTCGACAAAGCCTGTCCCGAAGTGTTGAAGCCTAAGCAGAACAGTCTGCCAACTCTTCCTCGTCCCTGAGCTGGCATTGCACGACACTGGTCACCAAATTTGCCAACTCCCTTCTGAAGTTAAGGAAAGCGGGAGAGAAAAAAAGGAAAGTGGGAGAGGGAGAGAGCGGGAAGGCGAAGCGGTGCAGTGATTTATTCCTAGAGAATGGCACGTATCACCAAACACCCATGCGGTGAAATACGACGCATTGTCCGTGATCAATCTTTTCGGAAGGCCGAACCGACAAAATACTGCCTGTATCCTCTGTAGCACCACTCGCACTGTCACTTTCTGTAGCGGAAACAACTCCACCCATTTCGAAAAATGATCAACGATTACCGTCAGGTGTATGAACCCCTGCTTACTCCTAGGGAACGGCCCCATTAGTTCGCAGGCAGCTACTTGCCATGGACGCTCATTGACAATTGGTTTCATCAAGCCGGACGGCATGCCATCCCTTGATTTTATCGCTTGGCAGACATGGCAGGAACGGCAATAGCGAAAAATGTCACGCTTCATGCCAAGCCAAGTCATAACCTTGCTCAGTTTTGCAAAACTTTGGAGCCACTCAGGTGACCAGCCATGGGCTTATCGTGAAAGGCTCGCAACAGTGCGCCTCTCAGACTTTTGGGCATTACCACCTTAAACAGGTCCACGGGCTCCTCATCGGTGGCTATGTATTTCAGCAGGAGTCCATCATGGTTCAGCAAGTATGTATGGAAACCCAGTATGGGGACCCAGTGACACACGCTGGTTCTCATCCCCCTGCACCCGCCGCACTACCAGCAGCGTCTTGGCACTCCGTCTCCCTGAGACCGTCACTCAACTCGCGACAAAACGGATCATCTTGCTGGGCCTTCAGTAACTCGTGTCTGAAGAAAGCAATTTTCATTCTCCCTAAGGGAAGTCTGGTATCGTTCCCACTCACGACTGCAGCCATGGCATCCACTCGCGTCGGCGTCATGGGTTCGCTTCCCTTTCGCTCCCCCTCTCGCCCGCTTCACGGCGTGCTGCTTGCCTGACCCGCAGAGAAGGTTTGCTCGTCGGCGCACTCCCCCTTTTCTACACTCAGCGGCTCCGCCGCCGTCTCCCCTGCGCCGCTCGCTTGCGCGAAGGCACTGCTAGCAGTTGTTGCACCGTGATCCAGGCTCCCAATAAACACTGCACGAGATAGCGTGTCAGCTACCACATTAGTGCTCCCCTTCCGATACTGCACTAAAAGTGATAATGCTGTATTAGGAGAGCACAGCGTGCTAGCTTGCCTGCAGGCTCACGGAGCCGCATCAGCCAGCTACGCACTGTGATCAGTTCGCACCACAAACTTCGTCCCATCAAGGTAGACATCAAACTTCCACAGTGCAAACACGATGACAAGACACTCCCTCTCAGTCTCGGAACAATTCTTTTCCGCGGGTATCAACGAGCGGCTGGCAAAGGCCAACGGCTGCAACACACCATCGTATTCCGGTAGGAGAACTGCTCTTAATCCCAGATCGCTTGCATCAGTCTGGACAACAAACGATCTGGTCAGGTTGGGGAGTTAGCGCTGTGCTCTCTTTGCAATGGCGCTAGACAGACGGCAAAATGCCTCATGCTGCTCAGGTCCCCATTGCCACTCAGCTGACTTACCCAAGAGCTTGGTCAAGGGTGCCTGCACTCGGGCACAGGACAGAATTGACGACCGGTAAAAATTCGCCGTTCCGAGAAAACAACGCAGGCCATGTACGTCTTTGGGCGTGGGGAAATCGAGGATTGCTTGAAGTTTCTCCCAGTATGGCTCAATGGAGCCTTTTCCCAGCGTGAAGTCAAGTATCTGAACTCGGGTGCGCGCTAGTTGGGCCTTTGCGGGATTGAACATCATCCCGGCGGATCTCACCCTCTCGAGCACATCGGCAATGTGGGCCAAGTGCTCTTCGAAGGTTCGTAAATAAATCACAATGTCGTCGAGGTAGCACATGCAGTAAGACCACTTTGCTTCCCCGAGCACACGGTTCATGAGTCTCTGAAAAGTTGCAGGAGCATTGCAAAGACCAAAGGGCATACGAGTGAACTCAAATAACCCTCTGTGGGACCTGAACGCGGTTTTGCACCGGTCACGCTCATCCATCTGGACCTGTAGGTAACCTTTGGAGGCATCTAATGTGGTAAAATACCGCGCAGTGCCGAGGTTTCCTAC